TTGACAAAGTGCCCCATGATATCCTGGTGGAGAAACTGAGGAGTTTCTCCACCAGGATATCATGGGGCACTTTGTCAAAGGCCTTGCTGAAATCCAGGTATACCACATCCACTGCATCCCCTCCATCTAGCCATCTCGAAACCTTGTCATAGAATTCTACAACGTTTGTCTGGCAGGACCTGTTTCTGTGGAAGCCGTGTTGTGTGGCTGCCAGCCTCCCTTCCCTATCTAGCATCACTAGATCTCCCTCTATTATGAGTCTTTCCATTGTTTTTCCTACAATGGACGTAAGGCTAATAGGTCTGTAATTCCCCGTGTTCCCTCTACTACCCTTTTTGAAAATTGGGACCACTGATGCCACCCTCCAGTCCTCTGGAACTTCTCCCATTCTCCACGAGGCTTCAAAAATGGAGGCCAGCGGGCGTGAGAGAACCCCTGCCAACTCTCTAAGTACTCTCGGGTGTAACCCGTCAGGGCCTGATGACTTTGTAATGTCCAATGCCCTGAGGAGCCGCTCGACTTCTAGGGGGGATGCCTCTAATCTGTGCCCCTAAGTCCCCGGCCTCATCTAATCTCCTATGTGGATCTCCTCCGTCCAGCTTTGGGGAGAACACAGAGGCAAAATAGTCATTTAGCATCTGTGCCTGTTCCCTCATATCAGTCACTGGATCTCCTTCCTCCTTATTTAGTGGTCCCACCACTTGTCTCCCCTTCCTCTTCCTATTTACATGCTGAAAGAAGCCCTTTTTGTTGCTCTTGATATTCTTGGCAAGTCTCAGCTCGTAATCAGCCTTAGCCTTGCAAAGAATCCTTCTGCAACGGGCCTCCTCCCAGTATATCCTTTTGTCTATTTGCCCCAGTACCCATTTCCTACGCAGGTTCCTCTTTCATCTAATCCCTCTAACCACCTCCTTTCGCATCCATGGCAATGCTTTCCTCCACCTCCCCACCTTACTAACTAGAGGTATCATCAAGGCTTGCGCCTCCAAAACCTCCCTTTTGAGAGCCATCCACCCCTCCTCAACTCCCTTGCCTTCCAGTAACCTATCCCAGGAGACTTTCCCCAGTCTGGCCTTCAGTTGGCCAAAGTTGGCCCTCTTGAAGTCCCAGCTTCTAGTGCTCGACCTGCTGCCCATCTGCAGTCCCCTGATCTCAAAGCAAAGGATGGAGTGATCAATCGCATCCAGAGCTCCCCCAATCTGTACTTCATCTATCAGCTCCTCTCTATTGGTCAAGACCAAGTCAAGGATGTTTCCCCCCCTCGTCACCTCTCGGACCCTCTGTGTGAAAAACCCTCCCTCTATAGCTTCTAGGAAGCGACCTGGCTGTCACCGCCGAGTGAGTCTCCCAACTAATATCTGGGAGATTGAAATCTCCCATAATTACTGTGTCTCTCCCCCAAGATATCCTTAGAATTTGGTCTGTCAGGACATCATCCAGGGTCTCAAGTTGACTTGGAGGGCGATAACATACCTCCACTATCAGGTCTCTTTCCCTGTCAAAACCCCTAAGTTTCACCCAGATTGCCTCTACCGAATCCCCATCTGTGCTGCATTCTATCTCACTGCATCCTATCCCTTCCCTGACATATAAAGCCACACCCCCACACCTCTTTCCCTTCCTGTCCTTTCTAAAAAGGTGATACTCCTCTATGTTCACATTCCAGTCTTGCCTTTCATCCCACCAAGTTTCTGTGATTCCCACCAGATCATACCCTCCTATTCCCAGGAGAGCTTCCTGCTTTTCCTGCTTATTACCCATGCTCCTAGCATTGGTGTACATGCACCTCAACTCCTTCCCACCGCTTCCTTTCCTTAGAGTTCCCAGCCTCCTCCTTCCTCCCATCCTCCCTAATACCTGGCCCCTTTCTGTAGGAGCCCTGTCAGTCCCTGCAGTACCTCTAAAACCCTGCTCCCAGAGCCCTGATCTTCTCCCCACACTTGTCCAGTGCAGATACGTTTCTGGGGGGCCTGAACGCGCCCCCCCCCCCACCAGCTCAGTTTAAAGTCTTCCAGATGAAGCTAGCTAGAGCATCTCAAAGGACCTTTTCCCCATCCTTGTGAGGTGCAACCCATTCCTTGCCAGAAGTCCATTGGCAAGAAACCGGGTGCCGTGGTCAGGAACCTGAAGCATTCCTTCTGGCACCACACCCTAAGCCAGTCATTCACCTCGGCGACCCTCCTGTCCCTGCCTGGCCCAAATCCCCAGACCAGTAAGACAGATGAAAAGGCCACTTGGGCCTTTAGGTTCCTGAGTTTCTTCCCCAAGGCCTCAAAGTCCCTGGTGATCCCGCTCACACCCTGACTACGTTGTTTGTGCCCACATGGATCACCAGGAGCGGGGCTGGTGACCCCCAGAGCAAACAAGATGCTCCACTCTGTCCTTCACATGCTGGATGCGTGCGCCCGGCAGGCAGCAAACCTCCCTTGTCTCCAGGTTGGGGTGGCACACCGCTGCCTCAGTGCCCCTCAGCAGGGAGTCCCCAACAACAATCACCTGCCGCTGTGTCTTCCCGGTGCTGGTGGGTGGCCGTGCCCTGGCCCTCGCCTCTCCTGCAGCAACCCCCTTGCTGCTTGTGGTCCCAGGCTGGGGGTCCTGCTGGTCCCCCGAGGCCTCATCAGCCCCAGCCTCCCTAAGCAGAGAGAAACCTGTTTTCTAGCTCCAGATTGTCGCCAGGAGAAGGAGGAGGCCATGCTGGCCTCCTCCTCCTGTGGGTGACATGCCTCCATGTCTTTCCAGCTGCTCCTCCTGTGGCCTCTCCCTCAACCCTCTATCCAGAGGGGGGCTGCTCCCGGGGGGCCTGGAGAGTTCTCTTGGCCCTCAGGCACCTCAACTCCTCCTCTAGCAAGGTCACCAGCTTGCACCGAGGGCAAGTGTAACCCTGCTTCTCCTGGGGGAGAAGGGCAAACATGTCGCAGCTGTCGCAGCGGACAGCAACACCCGTGACTCCTGCCAAGGCCATCTCCCGGTCTGCCATTAGGATCCCTTCTGAAACCTTACCTTGGTCCCCCGCCTTGTCTGTCCTGCAGTTCCTCTCACTTGCCCAGTTCTCCCAGACAAAAACCCACATGCATACACAAGGATAAAATAAAATTTAAATTGGAGGAAAAACGGAAAGGAAAGGAAAGGAAAGGAAAGGAAAGGAAAGGAAAGGAAAGGAAAGGAAAGGAAAGGAAAGGACAGCACAAAACCAAACCAAACCAAACCAAGAAAGAAAGAAAAACAAAACAAAACAATTAAAAAACAAAACAAAACCCTCAGCCTCCCAGGGAAGGGCGTCCCCGGGCAGCCTGGGCCACAGCTAAGGGACGCAGACAAGGGACGATGCCAAGAGGCCAGAGCCCATCAATGACCCAATGCTCAAACATATTACATACCACTCTATTGAGTTCTGGACTGTCAGGATTGTTGTCCTGAAAATATTCCACAGCCTTCTGAATTTTAGCCATGCAGCCCAAATATTCTTCCAGCCTCCCTGTAGGGCTATAATTCAAAATACATTTTATTTCAGAAAGCTACATCAACAAGCAACTGCTTATCAAAATGCCCTGCAAAACCCTTTTCCTCCAGAGACCACTAAATCATTCCGTAATTTTCCTCTTTTGTCAGATAATTTGACCTTAGTGAGCTTAAGTATAAAAGTAAAGAGATGGCCAGCAACCAGTACAGCCCATACTTAGCAGACAAGCAACATTTAACCCATGTTTACAATTAACTGCCACATCGTGAGCTTTGGTTGCCAACTTTCCTTTCAGACATTGGGCAGGGTCCAGATTTAGCTGTGCTTAGATAGACCCAATAAAAGCAATGGGACTTACATTAGTTACGACCAATCCATCTCATTGATTGCAATGGGTCTATTCTAAGCATGGCAAAATCTGGACAACTCATTGGCATGTATAAGTGGCAGAGAATGACTAAAAGAATAAATAATAGCATCCAGTTTAAGTTCTCAAAGGAAAAAGGCAGATTATGACTTCATTAAGCCCTAAGAAAGTATTTTAATAATGTATCTATTTTTATCTTATTCCATCCTATGCTCCACATTATACCAACACTAAACAGTGTCACTATTGTTATGTCCTGTCAAGTTGTCTTTGACTTAAGGCAATTTTATGAAAGAATATCCTGTAAAAAGTCCTGTTCTTGACAGCCCTGGTCAGCTCTTCTAAATTCAAGGCTGTGTCTTTCTTCATGGAAACAGTCCAGTCTTATTTGGTTTTCCTCTTCCTTTGTCTTCAACTTGCCCTAGCATGATTATTTACTCTAGGTAGTTTTGCATTTTCATGATATGCTCAAAGTATGACATCTTCAGTTTTGTCATTTTCACTTCCTGAGTTCTGGTTTGAGCTCATCTAGGACTCACTTGCTCATCTTTCTGTTGGTCCAGGGTATTCACAAAGCTCTCCTCCAGCCCCATGTTAAAGATACATCAATTTTCTTCCTGTCAACTTTCTTCACTTTCCCACGTTCATACCTATATTGATAGGGAATAAAATAGTATGGATGATCTTGGTCTTAGTGTCCAGTGAAATGTCCTTATACTTGATATTTTCTAGATCCTTCATTGGTGTCCTTCCAAGTCTCATTCTCCTAATTTCCTGGCCACAGTTTCTGAACTGATGATTGAGGCATAGTACATAAAATATTTCATAATTTCAACTTCTACATTGCTAAGATGAAGTCATGTAATTATTCTTTGGTGTGTTCCTGTAGCCAACACAGATTCACAATATGATATTGCATGCCTCTTTCTTTTTGGAATACAGCTAGAATGTCAGGCATTTCTCAGTCCATATAAGATAAAATTCTTTGTTGCAACTCCTTGAGCATCACTTTGCTTACATGGAAAATTAGTGCAATGTTCCTGTGGTTACTGTACTCCTTACCATCTTGTTTCTCGTGAAATGTAATGTATATTGAACATTTTCAGTCCGTGGGCCATAATTTTGTTTTCCATATTTGTTGGCATATTTCTGTTAGGAATTGGACTGATTCAGGCTCTGCAGCCTGGAATAGTTCTATTGGTACTCACTCTACTCTGGGTGCTTTGTTCCAACTGCTTTCAGAGCAGCTTTCACTTCACTATTCTTCACAGGATTGCTCCTCAAAGGGGTCTTTCATCTCTTCTGTATAGTTTTTTTGTATATGGTATCCACCTTCTCTTTATTTTCTCCTGGACAGATACTCTTTTTGTCTTTCAGTATTTCTAATCTAGGGTTTGAATTCTTGAATATTCTGGAACGGGTCTCTTGTTTTCCCTCTTTTGTTGTTCTCTTCTATTTCTTTGCACTGGGCACTGTAGTAGATCTTTTGACAGGATAATTGCTGAAAAGTTGCATCCAGTGTTTCTGCCACCATTTGTTTTTGTTTCTCATCTTAGCAACTGTGAGTATTTCTTTTATCATCCATCTTTTCTTTCCCTTCTTTTTGCTTTAGAAATTGTCTTTTTGCATTCTTCTCTAATAATGCTTCTGGTTTCAGTCCACAATTCTTCTGGTTCATGATTAAATTAATTCAGTAATACAAATCTGTTCTTTCTGTGGACTTCAAATTCTTCTGGAATGTTATTTACGTAAATTGTAATTTTGGCATTATGCTTCCATTAATTATCTTTTTCAGCATTATTCTTATTTTTTAATATTAATAGTTCATGGTGACAATCCAAGCTACAAATACTTCTTGCATGCTCTCTCTCTGTGTGTGTGTGTGTAGTAACAGGCTATTAAATCATAATCTGTATCAGACTGCAAAGTGATAGTTAAGATGTTCTTTTTATTTCCCCATCACCAGAATTGTATAAGGATGTGTTCTGAATCCTCCAGAGACATCATTCTAAAACTACAGGATGAGGAAATAATTTAAAAAGGTAATAATCTTTCTTCTGTTCTATCTCTACTGAATTCCTCTATTTCAATTAATAGGATTATTTATGGTTGGAAGAAAGGGGGACAAAAGAAGTAGTGACCAAGAAAAAATCTTGAGCATTCTGAATCCCCAGTTGTGTTGTGAGCAAGCCAGGATGCTAGCTCTTACACCTTGATTTTTCCACTTGGTTCCTCCTGCAGGAACAGAAGCAGCATAAAAAAGACATTATCTGGCAAACCAGAGCTGACATCCATGGTTGTTTAGCCACTTCCACTGGAAGCAGAGTAATCATGCAGGATGAACTAACATGCTAGCTCATTCATGGCAACTCACGGTTTTAAAAATGGATTATCTTTATGAGTGAATCAAATCAACTCACCCTTCCCTTATTATCTTCTCTGTGTCTTTTGCTACATGGTAGTAACTTATAACATGATCCAAGCAGAACAGTGTTTTCTCAACATTTTCCTGCAGGCGCTGAAGATTTTCAGTCTGCTTATGTACAGGGATGATTGAATTTTCCAGCTTCATCAGACGGCTTTCAAAGGATGAGAGAATGGAAACCTAAATATCAAAGCCAAAAATATCTGATATAGATAGTAGGAAACATTCCATTCTCCACAGACTACCATATTTTAGTTTGCAGTTCCATCAACCAAAACATCACTATTGAATTTTCTGTTCCCCTTTTTAAAAAACGCACAGGTTTTTTAAACGCTTACCATATTCTTTGTGAGCTGGTCACTTTTTTCTAAACTCTCTCTGATGAAAGACAATGTTTCTTCTTCCTATCATTGCAAGGGGAAAACACAACATTAATCAATTTCAAAACTTACCTTCCTAGATGCTAACCAAATTTGCAAGCTCCTAGGAAGTGTCAACTATTTAACAGAGTAAACCTACAAAGAGTTGGGAGATTCCACTTAGGAAATACCATTAGCTGAGATTTCCCAGCTTCCACTAACTATAGCAGAAAGAGTGGTGAAGCGGGGAGACGGTGGAGGTACCACTCAAACACTTCCATAGTTTTCTTCATTGCTCTCCTCCCACTGACACCAACAGATGGAAAAATATGCTTTCATGCAATGGCATAGTTCCCCTGTTTTGTGCATGTCAGAGTCTGGATTTAGTGGATCAAAGCCCAGTTTTGGGTATCTGGATAAAGGAAAGAGATACAGATTACACCAAGAGTAGGCACACTTTTGGGCTAAGAGCACAACTGGCAATTTGAGAAACTGTCCAAGGCACCACCACAAAATAGTTGTCATGACAAATGTGGCAAAGGACAATCAACCCACCCAGAACACTGAGTACAAGACAGAAGTGGAGTCTGAGCCCTGCCATATTAACAATTCTTTCAAACACAACTTTCGGTATCAATAGAAAAGTATTTCATAGTAATTGCAGTCGCTGATAGAAATTGCTCAGTCTCTTGACTATGCCTCCTACCTTATTGCAATCTTTTCTTCTCCACTGTTCTACTTTCTCATCTTAGTTCCCTGATGTCCATCAGGCACTCTGTTGCCAAAATAATTTACCTCTTCTACCACCCTGAAAAGGTGGTAGCCTTCCTCAAGTTTCTACCATATCTTCCTTTCTGTTCCAAAATATTTACTTTTAAAGCTCTTTCCCTTCAAAGCCCCCCCATCTTTTCTCTCCCATCCTCTCCCATCCCAAGATCTTCTTGTCCCTCAGAAGATTCTGTCCTTTTTCTCTTGCTATATCATATGCCTAGAATTGCCCTCAAGGGTGCGTTTTATATCCCCCAAATCCCTTCTCAAATAACACCATCTGTAGAACAGGAAAAGCTAAGCAAGCTTTTAATTGCTATGAATTAATTGAAGTTCTAGCCATCATGACAAAAGGGAAGGAAGCATCATACATCCTCAAGGCCACAAATCCAAAACTCCCTGTAGAGGGCTCTAGGTGACTTTGGGGGCAGGAGTGAAGAATCAAAGCATTTCCCAAGAGTTCAGTTTCCCCCAAACCATTCAAGAATGTCAAGACAGGATTACCCTTTACAGAAAACCCAAGAAAGACAAAGGATTCCTCAGGTAGGGCTTTCTGGGCTCAACATCCAGAGCTTTTGAGAAATGCTCAGGCACATGCTTTCCCATCAGGGATGGGGATGCTCCTTTGTCTCCAAACATTTCAGAGGACATCAGTGAAACCTCATCTGCTCCTACCTACCTGCTCCTGTGATATTGACTGCAGTACGCCTTGAAGAAAATGAGTAGATGCAGATTTTCTCCTCATCATCCACACCAGAGAAAACTTCACCTGCCATATTTTTGTCACACAGATGGTTTAACAGGCTAGCAGGGTGGATCTGGATTTTATCTGTATTATGTTTTATTTTATTTATGTAAGCTGTCCCGAGGCTATGCGATGGGACGCATGTATCTTAAAAGTGGCAATCCCAGGCTATAGCAAATCCATCCAAGGGGAAGAATGTGCAACCCAAGGAAGGAAGCCCCACCGAGTTACCTCCCAGCCTACACAGCCTGCAGCTTTCTGTAGTGATCTCTGAGGTAAGCAAGGAAAACGCCCTCCCAAAAATAAAGATTACAGGGGACTAAATGATGATGACAGCAAAAGCAAAAAACCGCCTGAGTGCGGTACCAAGGGGATGCTGGAAACAGCCCCGGGAGGGGCGGGAGAGAACGCCCTGCCCGCGTCAACCGAGCCAGCCCCACCTGTTTGAGTTTCTCTTCTATTTCCCTCCTCCGGGCAGACGCCTCCTCCGTCGGGATCATCCTGACACCGCAAGCGCCACCACCAACTAGGCCACCAGCTCCCCTTCGGCCTTCTGTCAACACCGCTCAACTTCACTTCCGCCTCATTCCCCGCCCTCCCCGGCGTGGTGCGGCCGCCATCTTGGGAGCGGCAGGCGACGAAGCTCCCGGAAACAGAAAAGAGCCGCTGAGAATACGTGAAGCTTCAGCAGTAGTAGGATGAGAGAACAAGTACAGCGTGCTTTGTTTTGTTTTTGTAGTCTGAAGATCCTTTTGAATCTAGCCGCCCAGGGAGCCTCAGGCTTCGGCCATATTGGGAGAGGCATCTAATGCCACCAAGCTTAGGAATCCCGGGAGGAGAGGATGGAGACAAGAAGTTGCAAGAGGAAGGTGCACCTTCGTACGGTGTTGTAGGCAGACTTGGCCTGGCTGGGTTTTGCGTGACCTGAGCCAATAGTAATGAAAAGCAGCCTTGGTTTAGTTTTCTTGTGAGCGTGCCAATTACGATAATCACAGGGTATTCACAGAGAACCTTACACCTAAGCCCCATTGAGTTCAATAGGATTTACTCCCAGGTAAATGTGTATGGGACTGTAGCCTTATTGAATTATTCAAATGACTGCACTGTTTTAAGAAAATCCCCTAACATAAGCAATGCATATCTCACATAAAGCATGGCACTGGGACTCAGGAGAACTGGGTTCTAGGCTCCACTAAGCCATGAACCTAACTGGATGATTTTGGGAAAGTCGTGGCCTCTCAGCCCAACCTATCTCACAGGGCCATTGTGAGGATAAGATTCAGAGGAGAATTTTGCAGGCCACCTTGAGTTCCCTAAAAAAAAAAAGTGGGATATAAACACAACAAAGAGGTTTTCTTTTCATACCTTGTATGCTTCCCAATGGAGGGCAGCTAGTGCATTGTGGAACTATTCTTTTTTGCCTTGATGGATAAGGAAAAGGATAAGGAAGAGGCAGTAGGAAACAGGATTGTGCAGGGGTTTATGAATGGAAGATGACAATGTCTAGACCTCCCCCCCCCCTCAATAAGACTTGAGTGAGGCACCTCTGGCTAGCAGACTCTTGGCAACTGTAACAATTTGACCACAGCAAATATTATCCATGTAAATATTCAAAGCTCACTGACTTCTAGAAAGGACTGGGGACTATTAGGATAGATATAGTAAGGCCACAATCCTATACATGCTTAGATAGCAAATAAATCCTACAACTTCTGGCATTCCCCAGCCAGTGTGAACATTAAGCTATTCCCCAGCCAGCTCTTGAACATTAAGAAAACAAAAATCATACCTACAGAAGAATTGCCAACTTTAATGTCAACAAAAAATTTGCATACTTTGGCTCAATCAATTGAACGGGAAACTGTAGCCAAGAAATGCGAAAAAGACAGACATGGAAGGGCAGCAATGATGAAGGAACTAGAAAAAAATTATCCAGCATAAGGACATTTTACTAGACATCAAGGCTATTGCATTCACACTCTTGTATTCCCAATCATTATGTTTGTGTGTAAAAGCTGGACAGCAAAGAAAGCTAGCAGGAAAAAAATTGTGTGTCCGAAACATGGTTCGTGCATATGCTGGATTGACAGAAATATAAATAAGTAGGTACTAGACCAGGGGTCCTCAAACTTTTCCACCAGGGGACCAGTTGAAAGCTGCCGGCATGGGGGGGGGAGCACGCGGGGGCAGTACGTGTGGGCACGCGGCGAGGCAAGGCGGGGGCGCATGGTGGGGGCACATGGTGAGGTGAGGCGTGGGCAGGCATGCGCTGCGAGGTGGGCGGATGAGGCAGCGGCTTGCTCGCTTGGAGATCGTTTTCTCCGAGTGAGCAAACCACTGCATCCCCATGCGCGGGGCGCGGCAGGTCCAAATGGGCATGGTGGGTCAGATAAGTGGGCATGGCGAGCCAGATCCAACCCCCAGGCTGTAGTTTGAGGACCCATGTCCTAGACCAAATCAAATCAATCCAGAACTTCCCCCAGAAGTGGAAAAAAAACCAAAACCAAAGCTGTTATACTTTGGGTACATCATGAGAAGGCAAGACTCACTGGAGAAAATAATCATGCTTTGGAAAGTTGAAGGCAGAAGAAGAGGAAGACTAAATATGAGATGGATTGATTCCATGCAGGAAGACACAATATTCCATTTAAAATAGCTGAACTGGGCTGTCAAGAACAGGGCATTTTAGAGGATCTCCATGCATAGGTTCATATAAGTAGGAGAGATGACTTGACAGCACCTAACAAGAACAAACTTAGATCCCACCTGTCCTCCAAGGAGCAAGGAACAACATACAATGGCCTCCATTTCATTCTTGGAATACCACTGTTAGGTTGAAAGTCATGGCAGAGTGGAGACTAGACTCCAGATCTCTTCACTCCTAATCCAGCACTCTAACCACTGCACCACTTTGTCACAGGGGATGGGACTGTACTATACAGACATTAAAAGCACATTTCCTTTACATGTGTCGCATTTCTCAGATGAGAGCTTCCACAGTAAATTAGAAAGGTATTAATTTGTACAAGCAGTTCCTTTTGCTTTAGCTACAAAATGGGCAGTTAAAGGACCATTTCAGTTCAAACTTGTTGCACAGATAGAGCTGACTCACATTAAGCCAATTATTAAATGGAGCTGAACGCTGTAATCCTTGCATGTGAAGATGGGAATTAGTCCCTAGACATTCTCTCTCATTTCAGAAGTTCACATCAGCACACTCTCCTCAAAAAGCTTTCTCTTGACAATTCCCCTGCTGTGGTTGTTTTCCTGAGTTAAAAAGATGCTTGGATGCTTGGGGCAAAGGAAGAAAAGCATGGTCTATAATCTCAGTTCCAGACATTGAATAAAGAAAACTATACCTCAGTATTATTCTCATGTATCTAACTTACTATGAAATATTTCATCATTTTGAAGCCTTTGTTCCATCTTGCATAAGAAATACAGATTGGATGCCATTTTGGAGATTCTACAAGTGCAGCAAGGAATTGGTGGCATAGAAAAAAATCTGTTCTTATTTTTAAAACACCTTTAGCCAACATGTCTTATCCGCTAGGTGTCTCTATGCACTAGTCTTGGAAAGGGGAATAGTGAAGGTTGAATGTTTTGTTTGTCTCAACCAATCTTCAGTCCTTACACTTAGGACATGTCATTTGTAATTTAATTGGGACATTCCTTTCAGGTAGGGGGCCAGCTATTCTTGATGCAATTCAGATAGAAGTAAATACTATGTCCTGACTTCTAATCCACTTAGCAAACAGCAGTACATGCACCACAAAAATGTGTTGAAGAATGGGGAAATATACTACTAGGCAGGGAATTCATTGACTCTCTGTTGGAGACATTACAAACTGAAAGTTCTTCTGGTTGAAGCCTCAAGATATATACCAGTCATCTTTGAATTAATATTTTAGTAGTGTATATTTTGTTTAATACTGTACACACTTATAGCAGACCGAAGATTGTTACAGAATACTTTTTCGGCCAGTGGTGCCAGTTACAAAGGCTACATCTTTCCATTAGTCTAGATGCTGTTGCATTGCTATGCACACTTCCCTGAGAGTAAATCTCACTCAAGTCAATGGAACTTGCTCCTGAGTAAAAATGTATGCTTTTAGGGGTATTTATTTATTTAAAAGTTTTCTAGACTGTCCCTTACCGAGGTCTCGGGATAGTTTAACAATAAAACAATGTAGAATAAAACACAGCATCCTTAAAAATTCCAACTGACAATAAAACCCAATTAAAACAATCAGACCTTAAAACATTGGGAAAATAAAAAGGCTTTCGTCTGGCACCAAAAAGAATAAAGTGACGGTGCCAGGCGAACCTCTCTGGGGAGCAAATTCCACAATTAGGGGGCCAATACAGAGAAGGCCCTTCTCCAGGTAGTCACCCTCCTAATCTACTTCAGGAGGGCACCCGGAGAAGGGCCTCTGCCCCAGATCTTAAGGGGCGGGCAGGCACGTATGGAAGGAGACACCCCTTCAGGTAACCAAGCCCTAAGCCATTTAGGTACAAATGAGGTAAAGACATCACAAGGAAAAGTACCAGCTAGCTCTCAGAAATACATACCTCGATTGTTTGCTAGTTATTTAAATATTAATTGCCTTTCAATACCCTGTTAACTCTAATCACTGATAGCACATAATAGCAAAAGAAACTGACAGGCCCAATGATGAATCTCCAGAAGTCTGTATCCAGCCTTTGGGCCAGAAGTTTTCTATCCCTGATCTAAGAAGGCTAACCGTGTCACAGGGCAGAGTGAGGGAGGGACCTCAGGTGATAGGTCTGCAGTGTCACGAAAGGATAATAAGTCAGCTTTTCTTCTATATTTGTGGAAGAGGATGCAATTTTGTGTGTTCAGTATCAACACATTTTGGGTCAGAATTTCCTGGCTGGTGCTACTTGCACTATCTTGCCTCTCTGCAAAAAATGTTACCAGTCTAGGGTAATGAATGTCTTGCTACTGAATAGCATTTTGAAATCACCTGACATTTTCTATTTGTTTCAAGAAATGAAAACCAAAGAGTTCAATCTTGCCCCCAAGTTAGCCTGCTTAATTCCCATTGACCTAAATGGGTCTTAAGCAACTGTGAATAGGATTGCAGTTTAACAGCATGATCCTGTACACTAGGGTGCACTTCTATAACTCTTGGCTTAATTTCAGAAGCTGTCTGCAAGTTATCAGCTCAGATCTTTAGCAAGAACGATCTGGCCCTTCTCTTGGCAGCCCACTGGGCTGTGGGGAGGAGAAAACAGGTGGCAGTAAAAGAGAAAAATGGGTGGGCCCATTTACTTTTGGCTCCAGCCCTGCCTACCAATGGCTTTTTCAGTGCCTGCCCACAGCTTGCTTACCTGAACAGATTACGCCTATGTTAATATAGTCCTTGGCAAAACAGAAAGGCTCTTTTGACCTGTTGTATGTATCTACTCAGGGGTCAGTCTCACTAAATTCAATGGGTCTTACTCTCAGGATTGTTGCTTAAACAACTTGCCTAAGCAACACACACAATTTGTGGCACCAATGAGAATATTATTATGGCTTTGATTTCACT